CCCAGGTGGGCTGCGGGTGACGGGGGTGGTGGGGGAGGCTCGGGGCTGGGAGGGAATTGAGGGCCAGTTTGTTCGGACTCGGTCAGCTCTGCGTCTCCCAGCACATTTCACCACCACCATCGTCCAGGCTGCAGCCTGCAGCCAGGATGAGCTCTGATGATGTTCCAGGGCTGCACCGACCGCTGCACATCACCCCCATGCTGGAAGGGATGCCTTCCCAGAGACAGGGGATGTCCTGGGGACAGGGGGTTCACATCGCTCCCAGGCACATGGACTTGCCAAGAGCTGCCCGCACAAGGTGTTTAATAAAGAGGGTTGCCTTCAGAGCTCGTGTCTGGCAAGTGCAACCTGGGACGGCAGCAAGCTGGAGCATGATGGCAGGGGGTTAAAAAAAAAAGCAGTGGGGAGCAGCAGGAGGGGATGGGATGGGAGGCTTGTCCCCCTCCCTGTTGTGCCTGGATGGGAGGGTTAGAGTCACCCCACACTGGGCAGGATGGGGGTCAGGGTGGATCCTAGGCGCTTGCATCTCACTCCGTGATGGTCGTGCAAACACAGGCTGAGTTGCAGAAAGGAGATGGAGCAGCTCTGAGCTGGAGGTGACCATCCAGCCATTGTGCCCCCCTCCAGCTGCCCAGCCCTGCAAGCTGGCCCTGCAGAGTGTCTCCCCCGGGACCCCTGCACCCTCCCGATCTCTGCTGAGGACAAAGGGGTCCCAGGTGCACCCACCTCCCCTCACTGCACCCCATGAATTGCTGTGACCCCAGGGTGCTCCCTAAGCATGACCTCTCCCATGTCTCTGCCCTGGATCCCATGGTGGGGGCTGCCCTGTTTCTGGGGCTACAGTGGGCATGGCACTTACATGGCCCAGGACCCTCACAGCATCTCCCATGAACAGCATGGGGCTGGGGGCTCCCAGGCCAGCAGACCCTCGGCGAGCTGCTGTTTGCAGGGAAACTAGAGTGTTTTGCTCTGGTAAGAGGTAACATCTGGGTGGTGGGGAGGGCTGCCTGGCCAAAACCCTCTAGTGCCAACACAGACACGATGTATTTGCGCCCTCTTTTCTCCATCTCCCCACTCTGCGATGGGCCCATGGCTTGCATGTCTGGTGCTCGTGGTCACTTGTTGGTGTGCTGGGCTCTGGCCCATGCGAGGAGTTCACTGTTTCTGTGCTTCTTGGCAAAGCCTTGGGGTACCTCTGGGGGTGGGTGGGCACTGGGCCCATAGGGACAGGGACAGGGCCATACTGGGTCCCCCATTGCCTGGTCCCATCCTCAGCTGGCTTGGGGCTCTCCTGCAGCTCGAGCTGTTTAAGGGACATCAGTCAAAGCAGGGGTCACGACTCCACAGCATCAGCCGCTTCCCACTCCGTCTCCCTCCCGATTCGGCTGCTCTCAGCAGCAGAGCAGAGCGGTAAATATGTGCAGCATTACATATGTATAATGGAGTGTAAATAACCCCAAAAAGTGCATTGTAAATAGACTCCAAGTTTATCCTTTATTAATGAGGCACTGAGTGCCCTGCTGTTTTAGAGCAGCGAGACTTTCATAATATCAAAAACTAAATTACACTTGTGTCTCTCATTCCCAGCAAACGACAGCATCATTTCAGGCCTCTTTGCCACTTGTATTTATTTATTCTGGTATTTATTTATCTCTCCCACCCAGCATGCGGGGTGGCTAGGAAGATACCCCGTGCCCTCCATATGGGAGGCAATGCCCCCCCTGGGAGCAGCCCCCCATCCTGGGGTCCTGGTGTGGCCGAGGAGCCAGAGTGTTGCCTTGCAGCCAAGGACTGCTCTGTGCTGGCTGGTGAGATGGGGCAGACCTGGGAAAAATGGGGTCAGGACCCATTTCTGCCAGGGCTTCAGACACCACCAGAACCAGAAGTCCCCTCTTTCCAAGGACAGGAAATCACTGGCAAAATCCTACAGTGCCTTTTGGGTGTGTTTGCTCTTGGGGACCCTTGTGAGAGTACCATGCCAAGGGACATGTCCATCCCCCTTCCATCAGGACCTGGAAAGATGAGAGTGAGGAAACCACATGCTCATGGGACACTAGCTTCTCATCAGCTTTTTATTTAGGTTATTGGGACAGTATCTCTGCTTGGGGTTGTCAGTCCAAGCTGCGACCCCACCACAGGTCTGGTACTCTTGCAAGAGCAGGATTTGGGCTTCCCCTCTCCTTGCCCTGCCCAAGGAGGGGTTCCCAGCAGCTCCACTGCAGGCTTCTTGGGATGGGTATGGCCGGGAGGGCTCCAAGCTGCTTTCCCCTGTCCAAAGCAGCTCCTGGATTCAGGCCTCCAAGCACTGGTTCTGCTTGGGGAGGTAAGGCTGTGTCCTCTAGCAGTGTCCAAACAGACCTTTTAGAATGGAGAAGGTGCAAAGAAGAGTCCAAGAAATTACTTTGGTGTCTAGAAATGCCCCTGATCCTCTTAAGGCTTGCAGAAATGAAGATGAAGGTGACTTTCTCCAAATGCATAAGTGTCTTCTTGTGATGTACCCAGTGCTAAAGGGTAGGTGAGTTTAAGCATTGAGGTGTACCTGTGGAGGACTGGATCTCACCCCAGCCAAAGTGGAATGGGAAAAAAGGTGCAGTTTGAACTCTCCAGATATTTTGAAATGGGTTCCTCAAGGAAATGGTGATGGCCCATCACTGGATATCTCCAGATCCTCCAGGGAAGCTCTCCAAGGAGCGTGTCTGGTTCAGGCTGAATGGTCACAGCCTGACTGGTAAGCTGGTGAAAGCTTGCCAGACACACCCTGGAGTCCCTGTGCCAGCACCAGTGGCTGGTGAGACAGCATGTGTCCCCAGGCTGTGACCAGAACAGCCATGGAGCATTCATGCCCTGCCAGTGCTCATGGTCCCTGTGGCCGCAGCAGGGATGGGCTTCTCAGGACAGATCCTGCTGGTGACAGGGGACCCACAAAGCCTCTGAGACTGAAACCTTCCTGCACTGGTTTCACCAGGTGCCCTAACAGTGAGTTGTCCCTGTCACCTCAACAGGGGTGCCTCTGCTCCCCGAAATCTCACCTGACTGCAGAGGCTCCTTCAGGGACCAGTTTTGAGTGGGGTGCAGTTCCTGTGTGCTCTGAGCAAGGTGGAAATCCCCCTCGTGCCTCCTTCCACGTGGGAAAAGGGGAGCTGGAGCAGCACCCCTGCCCTACCGAGGTGGGTGCAGGACTGGTCCCCGCCTTGTCTTACCAAAGGGACAGAGGCTTCAGGGCCAAGCAGCTTCATAAGGTGGATTGATGCTCGACAGTACCCAAAACTGCACCGCAACCTCATCCCCTGGCCTTGGGGACCCCAGAGCAATTTGAGGTGCTGCAGCAGAGGGCTGAGCCCCCAGCACAGCTCCTCCTGGGCTGGCACTGCTGTCCCCTTCAGTCCAGGTGTGTTCATGTGTGCTTTCCTCAGCCATGCTTCCAGCACAGCAGGCACAGGAGGAGGATGCTGGACACGAGAGGCATGACTGGGGGGAGGTCGGTTTGCAAACAGCCCCTGTGTCTGCAGCCTGGGCCTGGGACACGTTTCAGGGGTGATTTCCCCCACCTCTGCTGCCCCAGCTGCTCGGGGCTCTTCAAAGCAGGGTGAAGCTGGTGGAGGAGCCAGCACAGCTCCACCATCAGCCCTCTCCAGTTTCTCCTCAGGAGCCTGGGGGAACCCGGCCATGAGACTGCACAGCGGCGAGGATGGGGTGCATCTGGCACAGCACATCTCAGGGTGCAGCCCACGCTGATGGGCAGCTGACCCCCTGCCAAAACTCAAAGCCCATGCTCACAGAGGGTCTGAGACTGCAGAATTGGACACCCCCATCTCCCAGTGCCCACACTGGGGCATTCCGTACCCCCCCAGACACAGCCTCGTGTGCAAACACGCCTTCAGTAAAAGCACAGAGGAGCAAAAGGGAGGGGAACCTCTTCTCTTTGGACACAGGGTTTGTCCTGCACCAGCCCCTCTGCCCTCACAGTGCCCCTGGGCAGGGGTTAAAGAGGCCCTGGCTGCACTTTGGGGTTGCAAAGCTCAAAGCAATGGGCTGGAGCTGCCTGGGGATGGTGCGGGCAGTGAGCACAGGAGGGAGAGGAAAAGCTGACAAATGAGGAGGATACGGCAAATGATGGAACACAGAGCTGGGACCAGCCCCTCTCCAACCCCAGACCAGCCAGCCCTGGGCACTGCTCATGGCAATAAATGCCAGGACACAAGTGACCCAGAGAGCAAAGTTTGCACCCCCAGAGTCAGGAACACAAGATGAGCAGTTTTGGGATGCAGCACGAGGCTCTTGGCACAGTCCCAGGGCATCCTCTGCCTAGAAAGTGTGATTTCAGATAGGAATGGTCATCTTGGCACCTTCTCTTGGTTTTGCTTTGCACAGTGGTGGCAGAAGTCCCCTAGGGAAGGGGGCGAGGCTGGGTGGTGGCAGTGTGCCCCTTTCAGGTGCCACAGCCCCACGCACACCCTCATGCTGGGGTAACCCGGCTCGCTCCTGGCTGGTAGTGGTCCCACAGCGGGGTCTCCCCGAGCCGAGCCTGCAGCTTTCATCTGCTTAAACTCCAGAGCAGGCTCTGTGGTTCACAGCCTGTGGTTCACACGGACTCTGGTCAAGTGCCTTTTTGCAGGGAAAAAACCCAAAATGGGTGATTTTTTTACTGTGTTGTGGGTAGTGGGCACTCAGCTGAAACCCAGGACTTCAGAGGGGAGGAGAACATTGATTTGTTTCTTTTAAAAGCCTAAAATATTTCCTCTGCACCAACCAGACTCCCTCAACCTCTTAAAAAAAAAAAAAAAAAAAAAGGCTTATGAACAATTTAAGGGTGTATTTGGGGGGAAAAAAAGTATTTGTTACCCTATAGAAAAAAATAATAATTCTGTATTAATGCCGGTAGGTCCATGGCCAGTGCTCTACAAGAGTGGGTCTCTGCAGAGGGTACGGGGTGCCGGGGCTGGTCTGGATGTGGGTGCCCAGTGTCGGGGTGGCCAAGGCGAGGGTGCCCAGCAGAGGGTGCGCACAGCAGATGGCACTCCCAGAATTTATTGCTACAGCAAGCTGCCTCTCGGAGAGCAATTATATGGGCAGTTGGCTTTAATAGTCATTGTGTGCTTAAAGCACAGCAAAACAACAGTGGGGAAAAAAAAAAATCCCCACTCCACTTGGATGGCC